CTCTGTTTAGATCTGGGTAAGATTGTTTTCATCATCTTCCCATGGAAGCCTTTTCAGATACCCCAAGGATATGTTCTTAGCATAGGCTCCCATAATACATTCTATGTTCACTTACATCTTAAACCACCTGTCTTCTTAAAACCACATTCTCATTGAGAGTAGGGACTCTGTATCAATGCATCTCCAGTGCCTAAAACAGTATTTAGCATGTGGTATGTTCTACATACATAGATTTTTGAATGAATGAACAAGGGATACCCTAGTGAATGATAGGAACACTGATGTCAGAAGTTGCACAATCATCCAGAATTTTCCAAAGACTTCTTACCTTACTGCCATTAAAAGTCAAAGTTATTACAAGAGACCACAGGGCCCTACATGCTCTGACATCTTCTACTATTCTCCCCTTCATTCACTTGGTTCCAGTCACACTTTGAGACCTTGACAGGAGAAGATATTTTAGGTAAGGTGCTATTTAGGCATGTGCATGAAGGAAGGAACTGAAATATACTGAGCATCCAGTATGTGGCAGGCTCTGTGCTAGGCACTTTCATGTGCGGTGTCACCATATTCTCACAATCACACTGGGACAAAAGCACCACTTTGCCCACTTCACAGCTAAGGAGACTAAACTTTAGAACAGAGGGAACACTTTCTTGGAAACAGAGGGAACACTTTCTTGGAAAGAGTCTATAGTGGTGACTTTTTCTTCCTTAGATACTTTGTATTCTCATTATTCTGTTTGTTATGTTTCCTGCCCCACAACTTCCTCTACCCTATTCTGGGAAGCTGACCTCTATGAACTACATCACTCAGACTACCTTGTCCTGGGCTTCTGTTTGGGTTTTGCTAATGGAAGGTACTAGAGCTGTAGACTGGAGGGCAGGAGAACAGAGAGAGGTGAAGGCATTTATTTCTCTACTTCCTCTCTGCGGTAAGTTCTTATACTGGCTGCTTAGCTCTTATGGCCATAGCTCTTGTCAGCAGTCCCTCTTCCAGACTGCAGCTCTGGCTGGTAACAACACTCCCTCCCTTTTCCCTTCAGGCCTAGAAGTGCTACTGACTCTCCAATGTTGTTTCACCATTCCTTTTTAGTTCCTGTTAACACTGACCATACCTCTGTAAATGGTGCTTTTGGTTAAACTCTCTTCAGTTAAACCCTTTTGAATGCACCAGTTGTTCTGTAAGGACTCTGACTGATACACTAAGAAAACTACAAATGGCACATTCTCCTTTCACCCCCATTCATTGAATTTCCAATATCTACAACAGTCTCCCTTTCCTAATCCAAAGCTTCCCACCCTGGGTCTACCTGGTCTTAAGTCTCTCTAAATACTCCATTACCTACAGAGCAACACTGTTGTTACCAGCACTGTGCTGAATCTAATGTGATGTAAGTACTCTGTTGTCCTATAGTTCTGTGACTGTTCAGTTTTGTCAGTCTGACCATCCCAGCAGGGCAGTAAAGTCATTAGCGGTAGGAAATTTTAGCAATTAGAATCTCTAATGACAAACATTTTAGCCAGAAGGAACCTTAGAAGTTACCTTGTCTAATTTCCTTATTTTATAGATGGGGAAGTTCAGGTTCACACAGGGAAAATCTCACACAGATATACCAGTGGCAGACTTAAGTCCATAGTCTAGATTCTTCTGACTACTGCACCATGTGCGACACTGCACTGGGTACTTAGTAGGCACTCCATATGCTGATGAATCATTCCTAAATTTATGCAGGGGTTTTGTTTTGTCCAATGCAAGGCCTCATACCTAGATGAGTATAGTATGTGCTCAGCCAGTATTTGTCCATTTTTGAACCTGGGATGCAAGACAAATTCCTTCTAAGTTAATCAGAACTCAGAGGATCATTTGTAGTAATAATCCTTTTTACACCCAGAGAAAATGTAGAGCTTTCAAAGTGCTTTCATATTTAAATGAGCGCATTGATCCCTCTGCAGGAAACAGGGAAGGAATTATTAGTCTATTTAAATGATGAAAGAAACTGAGTATCTGAGAAGTTAAAGCTCAAGCTCCTTGATTAGTATGTAGCAGAGCTGAGACCAGTATTCATGTTTTATGACTCCACTTCCATACCATCTCCACATTTCATGTTGCTTCCTTCAGCTTTGCCACTCTGTTTCTAGGTGCAGGAGGGTCATTCAGGAAGCTAGTCTGAATATTTATGATGAATAGGTGGGCCATATACTTATTCTAAAAGAAGTGACTTTGCGTCTTTAAAAATTCACTATTAAAGGTACTTCTATTTCACTTCTGTAATTACATACAGCCTTCAACAGCTGCCCCCCTCCTTCTATCCCTATACTGTGAGGTCTGTTATTTCCTCAGAGAAGAGGGTTACCACCTATGTGTCTGGAGTAAAGGAAACAGCCTTTTGAAAATCACTTCCTGTAAAGATCAGAGCCAGGCCCTTTTAGGCCCTTTATAACTAGGTGCTCAAAGAGAAACAATGCTTTGTCCTTGGCCTGACCCCACCAGAGAGGAATTGGCATACTGGCTTACTTCAAGATCAAATATACAGGGAGCTAACTACAGATAATTTGATTGAATTCTCTTACCGAAAACACTTGGATACAGAGTTCACCCTGAGTTTTAGTCACTAAAATGATCTATCCTAACCAGAGCATCACAGAATCCAAAGACAACCTAAATACATAGTATCCAACTTCTTTGAATTTCAGTTGCCATTAGGAGCTCAAAATATTGACTCACAAAAGGACCCAAACCAAAATCCTACATCAATGGTTACAAACTCAAATGTCTGTACCTCACAAACTCAAATGCCACTCAGGTGCCAGGCAAATAATGTAAAGTCCAGTGTAAGAAAGGAGTAATGGCGTCTGTAATGAACCACAGTAAACTAATTTAACAGTTGCTTCTCAGCTTCAACCAACAGTTGCTTTGTAGGAATGTGAGTTAACAGATCTTCTGATTAAAAAAAACTTTTTTAAAGGCTGAAAACCTACATTTTAAAACACGAAATCTGCTTTTAAAAAGTTAGCTACTAATTCAAACTTGCAAGCCTGTTGCTAGCCGTAAGTAGTCAGCCAGAGTTTGACTCCTTATGGAACGGATTTCCTGCGGGGTTTGGGACCGAATAATGGCAAATGTGGCACTGCCAAGTCAAATATCCTGTAAGATTCATGGCTTCATCTCAGAGAATCTGGATAGTGCTGGAAAAGTGGACCAAGTCCCTGAGTTAATAGCAACGTGCCTTAGTTGGTGATTTGGAGGTATCTGCTTCATGTAGTAACTGGATGTGTGCCCCCTTGGGATATATTTGCAGTGGAGATAAAGATCCCCTTTTCTACGTATCCAGGCAAGTACAGCTCTGGAGCGTCCAAGAAACCTGTGTATCCAGTATTGGGGGCGGGCAATAACCTTGGGAGCACGGAAGAACACTCCACAGTAAGGTGAGAGGACAGACAGGGACTACTGGCTACTACACATAGCTGTATGAACGTCAGGTACTATGGGGATACAGTTTCTCTGCATTGTTGGGACAGATAAGGCAATAATCTCTCCTCCGGCACCACCTTCGGGTACCTCTTGCTCACCATCGCTGGGGAGCCGTCGACTCCAGCGACTTCAGGGGCCTGCTCAGAGCAGAGCCCCGCCCCTGGCCATGTCCATTCTCTAACACCGCCCCCCAGCCACTCTCTCTTCCCAGGAGCCCACCCGCACTCAGCTTCCCCATGAGGCTCACAGCAGCAGGCTTGGCTCTTTAGTACCTGAGCACCCTCTCTATGCTAGCCAATGGGGAACGAGACGATATACCCAGCCCCTGACTTTAGGAAGATCACAGGCTGATGAGGAAAAACAAGACAAGAAAATTATAACCACGTAGAGGGCTGTAGGAGAGGTCCAGGGTTGGTTGGGTCCTTAAAGGCTGCCAGGTGTCCAGAGCCTAGAAGGCAGTGGAGAGGCTTCAGGAAATCCCAGCAAGGGAAAACGGAATGTGCAAAGGCACAGTAGGGTAGGAGTGTGCACAGTGTGTATGGGGCAAGTGCAAGGGAATAGAATAGTTTAAGCTTTAGAATAGTTGCAGGATGGTTGTGGGGGTGGGGAAGCTGTGTCTGCAATGTGTTAGGAGTGTCTTGTAAATTCAGCTTGAAGGCTGTAGCTTTAACATGAGAGAGACTTCCCAGAGTGTGTGAAGAGGGGAAGGGCAGAATGGAGGCAGGTGATTATCACAGTAATCCAGACCAGAAGAACCAAAAGCCACTACTGCACTTATACTAGGAACTGAGATGAGAGAGTGGATTCAAGAGGTAAGTTTAAGGCAGAAATGATAGAAGGCAACTGGTTTGGGAGAGAAGAGGGAAGGAGGAGGAGGCTTAAAAATGTCTGGGCAACTGAACTGTAAGGATCTATTTAGCAAGCAAATAGAAATGAAAAACTAGAAGGCTGGAATTAATTCTCTGCTGTGTACGTCCACTCAGTCCCGACCCCCCAAGTTGTGATGGTACCAGCTAGGAGATAGATGAGCGCTTTCTTGCTTCAGCTTCTCTGATTCCCATGCCAGGAGGTCTCACTTTTACCTTGTTTCCTCCCCTGGAGACTTTCTACTCCAGCTCTTCCTTCAATTTTCCCAAATGAAAGACTAGTGTATATACTCTTGGGCCTACTCCTCTGTCCTGTACCAACCCCTGGAGGCACATCTCTCTCTGATTAGGCCCTTACCTTGTGCTCACAGCATGGACTAGTTTTCATTGGCACATGTCATCTCTTGCTCTTTGGAACCTTTTGCAGTAAGCTGATGCCCTGGGTCCTATGTCTGTTCATCGGATTGGTGGTCTCAGGTCAAGGCCAAGAGGCTAGCCCATCAGCTGCTTAACTGTTTGGTGCTTATCCAGAGCTGCTTTAGGCTCCACCATTTGTTGGGAGAGAGAGGTGGCAAAGGGCCACTGGTGCAAAATCTACTATTATATAGCATAGTCATTTCTACAGCTTTCCATACTTCAGCAGAATTACCAGACCCCAAATGCTGCTGTAAGGTAATTTATTAAAGACTCGCCAAAATTTCCTGTAACAATGGCACATATAATAATTAACAACAGCAAAGGTGCTTAGTTCCTTGCTTCATGTAATGGCCAGTACAGCTGTAGACACACAGAGTCCTCAGGAGGTTCAGGAGGCTGCTACACAGGATATCCAATGACCATGTCACATCTCTGAGCAAGGGACTGGAAGGTCCATATAAGCCCCTGGAAGAGTTTGTCTCTGACCTCCCAGGAAGTGTTGAGGGCCTCCACCTCCACCCAGCCTGTACAGAGGGATCACAGTCCAAGCTCCTTCTGCAGGTCTGCACATCTGAGGGGAAAGGCAGTCGACCTTGATGAAAGGGAGTGATGTCAAGGGCTAGATTCTTGCTGCAAGGCAGAGGACAACCAGAAGGCAGTGGCTATAGATGAGGACTTTCTAGACTGGTTTCTACAATTCTTGGCTTTGTTCAGGGCCTATCCAGGTAGAAAATACAGCCCTCTCTCCTGGACCCTTCAACTAGCCCTCAGGTACAACTCATAAGAACAGCCTCTCATGTCTAGAAGCATCATGCTCCTTCCTACAGGAATGAGGTAGGGGGAATCCTGGGCTGGTGGACCCTGGTGCTTGGGTTCCAAAGAATATTCTGCTCAGGTCTCTGAAGTACCATGTGAACCTCATTCGACTCATGACAGATATAATCTGGGGGAAGGGATTAGCACAGCTAATTGCTGGAAGATACCCTGTTCAGTTTCAAAACTTTCTTAGTGGAGCCACACAAAACCTGTGGTTCCTGCTCAAGGGATAGTCTGAATTCTATTCTGTATGCTTGTGCTCTGGACATACTCTAATCCAGACTACAGGGCTTGTTCATACCAGCAGGCTCAATTGACTACTTATCTGTCCAGGTTTCCTAAACTTGTTCTTCTAATGACTGGCATATGGGTCTAACTGGATAGAGTATGGTTTGGAGAGGATGTGAAGAGGGATAGAGATGGGGTGTGGGGTGGAGGGTGTCTATCAAGAATTGCTGACACTCTCAGAAATGCCTGTCCCTCTCTCTTTATGGATAATCTCCCTATGCAGTAACCCCCATAGCCCAGCAACTAGCACCACAAACCTGCTGGTCAGGAACTCGTGACCCTTTCTGTAAAAAGTCATATCCTCACCAGCTCAAATTTTTCCTTAAATTTTCTCAAATGAAGGAGTCAGCCTCTTGACTGTGAGGACCCTAAGCCAGCTGCATAGTAACTCCCACTGATCCTGATTAGTAGAATTAGTGCCATCTGATTGGCACTGGAGTCTGGGTGCTCAGCTTCCCTCCTCCATGGAACGAGACTCCGATTTGAGCTTCACAAACTCTCGGGCCACCTCATCATTGCTCCTCTGAGACAGAATCCGGAGAATGGTCATGCCTGTCTCATCCATGTGGATCTTCCGGCCCAAGGGGCACCAGCAGGCACAGCTGCCCTTGGCTGCCACATCCCTCAGAGGCATCACAGCCAGCCCCAGAACTCGATCCTCCCGGGCAAAGCAGTAATCTTTCACGCATATTTGCAACTCATAGGCTTCTGGCCCTTCTTCATTTCCTAGGAGGCTGTGAGTACAGGATGGGTGGAAGGCAGGACACCAGAACTGAGAGTCTTCAACTGAATTCACTGCAGCCACTTATCAAGCCCATCCCTCTTCTCCCCTCTCAAATCTTACCCCCTAGATCACCCCCATCCCTGAGTCCTGCAGGTCCCCTACCCCATGACTTACAAGTGAAATGTCTCATTGTACTTGGGGGCCCAGTTGTTGCTTTTTGACTTGGTTGTGAACTTCCTTTTCTTATCACTTTGGTGTGGGCCAACCATGGTCACTTCCACAAAGGGCCGGAACATACCAGCGGTCTGCCACTTGAGGTCATTGGCGGCTACCACTGCCCGAACAAGGGAGACCTGTGAGGGATCCCACCAAGCATTCCCAGTTCTTGAGCCCCAGGTGGCATTCCCCTGGGGGAAGGCTAAGTTGGAGGCCTGGGATAGCAGCCCCTACCCAGGACTGATGAGGTCACTGGGTAAGAAAAAGTGAGACCTGTTAGTCTATGCCACTCACCTTTCACTGTGACCTTGTGCTCTCCAGTTCCTGGATGTGTAAACAAGTCTACCTGAACAGAGACTTCTCCCACAGGATCATCCACACCGGACCCTGAGGGATAGATGGACAGATGATCCCTCATTGGAGAGCTCTTAAGATTTCAGGCCTAATTATTCCAAGTTAAACTGAGGAGCTAGAAGACTACCATCCTCTAACCTAAATCAAGAAGCAATCACCCATTGGGAAGCAAGTAATGGGAGAAGGGAAAGAAATGGGATAAAGAATGAGGCTGTGTATTAAAATACAAGTCAGGCTGACAACATCTTAGGTGAAACTTCTTCCAACAATTTCTCGGGGGAATCAGGAATTTCTCAGGTTCACCAAACCCCTCCTATCTCTAGGCTAAAGATTATTTCACTGAAAGATACTGACAAGGACACTGCTGCCACCCTTTATCTTTGGGAGGTGTGTCCGCTCCATGGTGTCTCAATGGAACAATGTCGGTTCCTTCTAGCCAAAGACAGCACCCTCTTACCCTGAATTCCTGGAGGCCTCTACTTGGGAGGCTGCCTTGCTCAGACTTTGTTCTACTCAAATCTGGACCTCTTCCCAGATGGCTCTGCAATTCCAATATCTAGCCAATCTGCAAGATCCCCCTCAGCAGAGGCCTCACTCTATTTTGAGAAAACACTAGTACCCTGTACCCCAGATTAGATGTCTTTGTCCTAAGGTGGAGGGGTGGGGGAATTCTAAGGACAGAACTATTGTTAACCCCACCTTGGAATATACTGCCCATCTCTGAGACTTGGGATAGAGCTTCTGAACTTTTACACCTGGTTCTCCCACCCCCAGCATAGGCAGCCCATTCTAGTTCACAGGCATGTTAACCTATGTTAGATTCCCATGTGCACGGTGTATAACATACCCTTTTCCGGCCGAATGTCCTCATTAGCAGTAAACCTAATACCTTTCCCATCATGCACTGAGTGAGGACAGGCAAGTCAAGAGGCAGCAGCAGCAGGACAGAGAAAGAATGAGTTAGAGGCCTAAGGAGTGAACAGTCACTCAGAGCAGCCCTGCATGTATTCTGAGGGAGTACAGACATGGGGCAGAGATGGAGATGGGTACGCCAAAGAACTGCGGTCAGTGCCTGTATGCTCCAAATTAGATTTCATGGCTCAAAATCAACCAAATCATGGGCAGCAGCTGTGTAACAGAGAAAAGTTATCTGAGACCAGTGGGGCAGGAAAAAGAAAGGTCATAGGCTCTAATTTTCAGGCCCTTAAATGATAAAGCAACAGGTAGAAAACATTTCACACACACACACACACACACACACACACACACTCCCCCAGCATAGGCAGCCCATTCTAGTTCACAGGCATGTTAACCTATGTTAGATTCCCATGTGCACGGTGTATAACATACCCTTTTCCGGCCGAATGTCCTCATTAGCAGTAAACCTAATACCTTTCCCATCATGCACTGAGTGAGGACAGGCAAGTCAAGAGGCAGCAGCAGCAGGACAGAGAAAGAATGAGTTAGAGGCCTAAGGAGTGAACAGTCACTCAGAGCAGCCCTGCATGTATTCTGAGGGAGTACAGACATGGGGCAGAGATGGAGATGGGTACGCCAAAGAACTGCGGTCAGTGCCTGTATGCTCCAAATTAGATTTCATGGCTCAAAATCAACCAAATCATGGGCAGCAGCTGTGTAACAGAGAAAAGTTATCTGAGACCAGTGGGGCAGGAAAAAGAAAGGTCATAGGCTCTAATTTTCAGGCCCTTAAATGATAAAGCAACAGGTAGAAAACATTTCACACACACACACACACACACACACACACACACTCTCTCTCTCTCTCTCTCTCTCTCTCTCTCTCTCTCTCTCTCTCTCGGTTCCTCCCTGCAGTCCTCACCCACTGCTCTTACCTCATACATGCCCATTTCAGCCTCTCATCTTTCTGTCTAGCTTAGAGCTCAATGTTTCCAGTCTTTCTGGATTAACTCTGATCCTCCTTGATGCTGTTACAGGCCTTTATATGTATCAGCTCTGTAAAGGTTCTCCCTGTCCCCTTGCGAAGGGGACAGGGAGTTGAAATCAGAACAGGCGTGGATAATAGGGCAGTACTATAGGTTCCTTGCATATTTTTACCTTCTATCAGCTTCAATCTAACTGCTTATATCCCTCTTCCCCTCCAGGTCAGCTCTGTGCTCCAGATCCACAGTTCAGTAAGGCCTAGGCCTTCCCACTCCCGCCATGAGGTCCACTTGCTCAGTCAGCATACCCAGGTTTCCCTGGGACAGGCAATAATAAATGCTCCTGATGGTCCTTCCTGGGAGGGCCCTGCTCTAAGGTCAGGGTCAGAATTTCAGTAAGAGTTGTGTCTATGCAGATGTGTTTCGTTATAGATAGGCCTGCCTGGAACGAAGGAGGGGTTCAGGACTGAAAGCCACGGGTAGAAAACCAGCTGCCTGGGTCCCTTGTGCATTATTAGCATTATCCATGAGGCTGGAGCCTCAGCTATGCAGAGCCCTGCGATCCATCCTCTCTTCACCTGTTTCCATTGTTTGTCTCTCTTACTCTTTTCCTTGTCCAAACTGGAAAATCTCACCAGGACAACTTCTAAGGCTCCCAAAGCTATGAGTCTTCATGAGTATCTCAATACTCATTTTCAAGGCTTCCTCACATATTTTCCCCACCAGACGGGGTACACTTCTTGAGCTTGATAAACATACACTGGCCAGGCAGTATCTGGGGAAAGAAACCTCAGGTACATTTCCCAAGTCTCTGTGATTCTCCTGTCTGGTGTGCGTATAGGTTGGGGCTAAGAATCAGGGTCCCTCAAGAGATCCTGACGTGTGACTTTGATAGGCTTTCTGAAGTAGTACCTGGATCCTCCCTAAGAGTTGGAGGATACTGACTCCCGAGGGGCAGAGATGTAGCAGGGAAAGGAGGAGGGGACCCAAATCTCTTAGGTCTTACCCTGAGCAGTTTGTGAGCGTACAAAGGTCTTGATGAGTGTGTCTGTGGTCTGTGTATACAGAGACAGGGCATAGCGTAGGGACTGCAGATCTGGGCTTTTCTCCAGGAAAGCTTTCTTCAGCCCATTGCCTCCTGCATGAAAGTATTGCTGAAAGACAAAAGAATACCTGCTACTGCTTCACCCCCTTACAGAGAGGCAGCAACCCACACTGTCCTCAGGGAAAGCACACTGAGCAGAGGCTCAATGACTATGCCAGAAGAGGATGGTGAGGACAATAAATCATTCAAAAAACAAGATCAGGTGTACACACAGAGCCAGAGTCACAGTCTCAGGTGAAGAGTATTATTTGGGTATCTGGCAGGAACTGTAAGGATGGTCATGTTCTAGGATGCAGTGTTTGAAGGATGGATCTAACTAGACAAAGATATGGGGTAGAAGCATTTCAGGCAAAGAGAGAGTACCCAGAAGTGCTCTCTTACCCCTTTGAACCCTTAAGAGAAATTTACACCTATGACATACCTCTCCCAAGTGCCCTGAATCACAGTTCATGTGTAGCTGCTTATTACTGCCTGACCAGATTAACTGCCTCTTGAAGCTAAGAACTATATCTGACTCTTTCTGTATCCTTCACAGTGCATAGTACATAATGTCTGGTGCCTGTGATGCCTGACTGAATTAATGAATGGGTAGTAGAAAAAAAAATCCTCTGAAAACCCAAATGAATTTATACATAAGTGGGAGAGGAAATGTCAGCCATACTTGGGATATTAGGATCTGGAAGATTAATTCCCAATGGAAAATATAGTTGATCCTTGAACAACACAGGGGTTTGGGGTACCACCCCCCCGTGTAATATAACTTTTGACTGCCCCAAAACTTAACTACTAGTAACTTTCTGTTAACTGAAGCTTTACTGATAACAAACAGTTGATTAACACATATTGTATTGTTATATGTATTTACATTTCTCTCAACTGCAAATGGCACTGTGTATGGTCTATAAATGTGTGCTTAAGTTTTGCTATGTTTTAAATTTTTATAACAGATTTGTGTATACTCTATGGTAGTAAATGATAAAACAGACTAGTAGCTATGTATAGTTTATGCATTAATGACATACCTTTTTCTTAAAATTTTCAGTATTTCTAGGCTATGTACTTCATCTGCAAGTTTTTTGAATTGTCATAAATCTTCAAAAAATTTTTCCAATATATTTACTGCAAAAAATCTGTGTATAAGGGCACCCATTTAGTTCAAACCCATGTTGTTTAAGGACAACGATATTCAGGAATGGCAACAAGGATCTAAGTGAACTGAACTGTCCTCAGAACTCAGGAATATGTGCTCTGGGTCCATGGTAAGTCACTTGAGACCATACATAAGGTGCCTTTTTGGTTGCTCCCAAGCAGGCATATGAACAGCAGAGAAATAAGCAGACATAAAATTCACTCTCTTCTGGACGTGGGGTGGCAAAAGTCTAAGGGGATGCCAGGGCCAAGAGGGTGTGGTAGTATGACTGGAGAAGGGGTGGGTCTCCACCTTGATGGTGTCCAGAGCGAGGTCAAGGATGGCACATTGCTTTGGAGTGAGATTTCGTGTTTCTTCTCGCACCATGTGGTCCTGGAAACTCAGAAAAAGCAATAGCATCAGGACAGCTCAGGGCTGTCATGAAGGTCTTGTTCCCACCTGCTAGCTCACAGCTACATCTTCCTCTCCTTCCCCTCCTCTCAGACTCCAAAGCTCAAATTTCCTTTCTCCCAGCAACCCTCTTGCCCTGGCCTCCAAAGGACCCCACACATTCAGAGTACCTTGAGTTTGGAAAGATGGCTCAGCTCCTTGGCAGCAGTGAAGATCAGCTGGGTGCCCTGGGCATAGAGGGGATCAGTCAAAAGTGGAGGACTCCAAACTTGATCAGGAAGCAGGTAGTGAGGTATGCACGGTGACGGTAAGGGAAGTGTCCTTACCGTCTGGTCAGTTAGTGGGGGCAGAACAATCATCCTTTCCATTGTGTTCATTGCCACCCGCCAGAGCTCCTTCAGTACACGCTTCAGGACTGTCTTCTCACACACAGTGGCAAAGAGTGTGAGGCTGCAGGCCCAGGCAACAGGTAAGGCTGGGGTGAGAGTTCAAGAGCACCTCTGCCCAAGAAGCTCCACCATCTGATTGCCTCTGCCTTGCTTGTCCCACAGGACAGCCCCGGGTGCTGTACTCACTTGCCATCCAGGAAGTCCATGAGAGGCCGGAGCACACTGTCTGCATCCTGAGCCACTGAGGCCCTGGCATTGGGGGATGCATTCCCTGGGCCCCGCACCTGGCCCAGGATGTCAGCCATTTGTCGAACACACTCATCAATCTGCACCTGGAAACTACACACGTGCCCACAGTGCAGCCCTCCTCTCCCGACACACACTGTCCCTGGAGCAGCACCAGCTATTTGGTCCCACTCCAGCACCAGGGAGGTTAGAGGGGGTCATACACCTGCAGCTGGATGGGCAGGTATGGGGCAGGGGCTTGGGGATTGGCCCGGGACCATACCTGGCTCTAAGGATTGTGTGTTTTGGGGCACTGACCTGTTTCCAAACACCATACTGAGCTCATCCAGAACTGTGTTCAGTTTCACCTGCAGCTCCTTCAGACTGTCTGCAGCTTCAGGGTCCAACTGTATCCACAGGAGGCAGGCTTGGCTGAGCTGGTTTTCTTATCCTTTTCTCCTTTCCTGTGGCCTCCACCCCTCCCTCCTAGGCCTTTACTCCAATGCCTACTGAAATCCCTAAGCTCCAACCAGCCCAGACCCCAACTAACCTCCTGGCCTATACCTAGTCAGGAGAGGATGCAGTTCTGTGCCCAGGGAGCTCACAAACAAAGGGAAAATACAGCAACTCCACACTCTAAGACCTACCTCCTTGCCTCCCATGGCCTCAAACATTTTCTCCAGCTGGACCCTCAGTTGCTGCATGTTGTTCATCAGGATGCATGGCTTTGGGGACAAATGGAACTGCTGAGTCTTGGCTTCTTTCGGCACAGGACTCATCAGCCCAGGGTCTCTCCCCCTCTCACACTGCTCCAAAAGCCACAGGGAATTTACATTACCTATAATATATATATGTCTCCCTAAGCACTCAGATGAGGAACTAAATTCAGACAATTCTCCTTGAATGAGGACTAGAAGAAAATGTTTCTGTTTTTAAGCTGGGTGATTAGGCCTCAGGTGTTCCTGGTATTATTATCCTTTACAAATCTCTGAAGGTCTTAACTTTGTTTTTTAAATTTAAAACAAAAGACTAAGTGAAGGCCTAGCTTAGTATAGGATAACGTATCAAATGGAGGCTCAGAGGCACTCCTGGTCAAGTTCCTAACTCCCAGAAGTCAGGAGCACTATCCCCACCCTCCACTCTGAGGATAGCCTTAAAAGCAAGAAGGATTAAAAAATCTTCCATCCCCTTTTCTAAGCTCCCAGGGCCTGACCCTCACCATTTTCTCCTTTGTGCAATAATCTGGGAAGTTCTTTGATAAGATATCTGCATACTGCATCAGCACCTTTCCGATGGTCTGAGAAGAGAGGAGAAAAGGAAAGGAAAGGAGTGGGAACACTGAGCTCTCCTCCCGGGGATCTTGCCTGAGGTCATATCTCTCATTCCAGAACAACAGGAAGATAGTGGGAATCTGACAGTAAGGGACAAAGCTGCCTCAACCCCAGAACAACACTGAGATAAATGCACTTAATTGCCTCAGACACAAGCAAAGGAGAATGGGATAAGCCCAGTCTTCTCTCCTGAAGACCACTACAGAGAGGGCTTGAGCTCATGCTTGTGACCAGATTGTAAGAGTGGTGGTAGTAAAGGGAAGGGAAAAGGGAGGGTCACAGTCACCTTAGCAAATCTCCTCATGTAGTGGGCAAGGATGCTGGGGTCTGGGCACTCCAGCTTTCGGATGATCTCGAAGCTCTGGTTGAGCTGTGTGAAGACGTCCACCACAGAGCAGGAAAAGAGCGCGTGCTCTGATGTCTGCTGGAACTAAGGAAGACCACACAGCGGGTCATCATCTTCAGTCGTTACATTTTTCTAGGTTTGTAGAGTTCAAAAGGGCTATCTGCCCTGCAGGGGTGGCTCAGTGGCTCTCAAAAGCCCTCCTAAAGGACTCCACAGGCCAGGGACAGTCATCCTGCCTAAAGCCCACTTTTGCTGATAGCTTTTGTTGGGAGACCTGGCTTGACCCCTGTTGCAGCTCAATCCCCCAACTTACCCCATCCTTCTTATCTCGTTCTAGGGCGCCATGCAGGAATTCCAGGGACACATCCTCATTCTCATCCAGCCATTGTAGGACAAACTGCTCAAACCACCTGCAGCCAGACAGAAGGAATGGCGTTGGAGGTAGTGGTTGGCATATGCCATGTGACTGACAGCTCCCTGAGGCTGGGGTCTTCTGGAAAGTAGGGCATGGATTGATGCTTTTCTTTCTCTACAGCAGACCCCAGAAAAGCCAGTCTCAAGACTGGCTTGCTAAACGGAATTGAGGAGAGTAGTCCTGCCCACCCCCTCACCTGTAGGGCCCCTCTTCCCTTCCCTCTGTAGTGCCCACATGATGACTCACGTGGGGTACTCAGGCACCTGCCCCTGGAGGACAGGAAGATCCTGCACGTATTCATTGTGGAGCCACTTCACCTTGAAGTGCAGGTTCATGTAGTCAGCACTCTTACACAGCCGGTCTTTCTCATGCTCTAGTGTAGGGAAGGAGGCTAGGTCAGGTCCTGGCTGCAGAGGCCACAGTTCCTGAGCTTTTTCAAGGTGGCAGATCCAGTCAAGTGGCTCTGTCAGATGTCTTAGAACAAATGTGACTCCCAACCACATCCTCACAGCCATCTCCCCCCAGAACTCTGCTCTCCAAGAGCCTGGCCCAAATATTCCTTCAGAGCCTAAGCGAGACTCCCAGATATGGCCTATACTCAGTCTTCTTGCTCTAGCTTTTGGAAGTGCCAAGTGAGGTACTGGCCTCTGGTGAAGAAGAGGAGAAAGGGATGTGGGTAGTGGGGAGACTGCCCAGAACTAGAGAAGGGTGATGTTTTCCAGGGTTTTTCTAAAGCTGGGAGCAGGGTCATTCCCTCAGAGGGTCTTAAATGCAGAGATGAGTAGCTATACATGGCATGATTGGGTCAATGAATATACAGAAACAGGGGAAACCAAAGTGGGCCAAAGCCCAGAGAATGAGCAGTTGAACAGTGTAACAGAACACTGAGGTAAACTGAAGGGCCTCAGAGCAGACCTGAGACACTGAAAAAATGAACTCTCAAAGAAGTATATAAATAATAGTTAGGAAACCATGGAAACACAGCAGTATGAAAATGCCATCATGCTGCAGAAAATGAGAAGACTATGGACTTTTTTTTTGTTTCATTAATATAAAATCACATGGACAACATTGTAGTTACTAGATTCCTCCCATTATCAAGTCCCCACCACATACCCCATTGCAGTCACTGTCCATCAGTGTAGTAAGATGCTATAGAATCACTACTTGTCTTCTCTGTGCTATACTGCCTTCCCCATGCCCACCCCTACATTATGTATGTTAATTGTAATGCCCCTTATTCCCCTTCTCCCTCCCTTCCCACCCACCACTCACCCAGACCCTTTACCTTTGGCAAGTGTTAGTTCATTCTTGGGTTCTGTGAGTCTGCTGCTGTTTTGTTCCTTCAGTTTTTGCTTTGTTCTTATGCTCCACAGATGAGTGAAATCATTTAGTACTTCTCTTTCTCCACCTGGCTTATTTCACTGAGCATAATACCCTCTAGCTCCATCCATGTTGTTGCAAATGATAGGATTTGTTTTCTTCATATGGCTGAATAGTTTTCCATTGTGTATATGTACCACATCTTCTTTATCCATTCATCTACTGATGGACACTTAGGTTGCTTCCATTTCTTGGCTATTGTAAATAGTGCAGCGATAAACATAGGGGTGCATATTGTCTTTTTCAAACTGGAATCCTGCATTCTTAGGTAAATTCCTAGGAGTGGAATTCCTGGGTCAAATGGTATTTCTATTTTGAGTTTTTTGAGGAACCTCCATACTGATTTCCACAATGGTTGAACCAATTTACATTCCCACGAGCAGTGTAGGAGGGTTCCCCTTTCTCAACATCCCTGCCAGCATTTGTTGTTTCTAGTCTTTTCTATGTTGGCCATCTTAACTGGTGTGAGGTGGTATCGCATTGTGGTTTTAATTTGCATTTCCCTTATAATTAGCAATGTGGAGCATCTTTTCATGTGCCTGTTGGACATGTGAATTTCTTCTTTGGAGAAGTGTCTGTTCATATCCTCCACCCATTTTTTAATAGGGATTATTTGCTCTTTGGCGGTTGAGGCGTGAGTTCTTTATATATTTTGGATATTTACTGCTTGTCAGACATGTCATTTACAAATATATTCTCCCATACTGTAGGGTGCCTTTTTGTTCTACTGATGGTGTCCTTTGCTGTAAAGAGGCTTTTTAGCATGATGTAGTCCCATTTGTTCATTTTTTATTTTGTTTCCCTTGCCTGAGGAGATGCATTCAGAAAAAAGTTGCTCATGTTTATATTCAAGAGAGTTTTGCCTATGTTTTTTTCAAAGAGTTTTATGGTTTCATGACTTACATTCAGGTATTTGATCCATTTTGAGTTTACTTTTGTGTATGGGGTAAGACAAAAATCCAGTTTCATTCTCTTATATGTAAGCTGTCCAGTGTTGCCAACACCAGCTGCTGAAGAGACTGTCATTTCCCCATTGTATCTCCATGGCTCCTTTATCATATATTAATAGACCAAATATGCTTGGGTTCATATCTGGACTCTCTAGTCTGTTCCATTGGTCTATGGGTCTGTTCTTGTGCCAGTACTAAATTGTCTTGATTACTGTGGCTTTGTAGTAGAGCTTGAAGTTGGGGAGCATAATCCCCCAGCTTTATTCTTCCTTCTCAGGATTGCTTTGGCTATTCAGAGTCTTTTGTGGTTTCATATGAATTTTAGAACTATTTGCTCTATTTCATTGAAGAATGCTGTTGGTATTTTGAAAGGAATTGCATTGAATCTGTAGATTGCTTTAGGCAGGATGGCCATTTTGACAATATTAATTATTCCTAGCCAAGAGCATGGAATGAGTTTCCATTTGTTAGTGTCCTCTTTAATTTCTCTTCAGAGCGCCTTGTAGTTTTCAGGGTATAGGTCTTTCACTTCCTTGGTTAGGTTTATTCTAAGGTATTTTATTCTTTTTGATGCAGTTGTGAGTGGAATTGTTTTCCTGATTCTCTTTCTGCTAGTTCATTGTTAGTGTATAAGAATGCAACAGATTTCTGCATATTAATTTTGTATCCCAAAACTTTGCTGAATTCAGATATTAGCTCTAGTAGTTTTGGAGTGGATTCTTTAGGGTTTTTATGTACAATATGTCATCTCCCAAACAGGGACAGTTTAACTTCTTCCTTGTCAATCTGGATGCCTTTTATTTCTTTGTGTTGTCTGACTGCTGTGGCTAGAACCTCCAGAACTATGTTGAATAAAAGTGGGTAGAGGGGGCATCCCTGTCTTGTTCCTAATCTTAAAGGAAAAGCTTCAGCTTCTCGCTGTTAAGTATAATGTTGGCTGTGGGTTTGTCATATATGGCCTTTATCATGTTGTGTAACTTGCCTTCCATACCCATTTGTTGAGTTTTTATTATGAATGCATGTTGGATTTTGTCAAATGCTTTTTCAGCATTTATGGAGATGATCGTGTGGTTTTTGTCCTTTTTGTTCATGTGGTGGATGATGTTGATGGATTTTCAAATGTTGTACCATCTTGTATCCCTGGGATGAATCCCACTTGATCATGCTGGATGGCCTTCCTGATGTATTTTTAAATTTGGTTTGCTAATATTTTGTTGAGTATTTTGCATCTATGTTCATGAGGGATATTGGTCTTTAATTTTCTTTTTTTGTGGTATCTTTGCCTGGTTTTGGTATTAGAGTGATGCTGGCCTCATAGAATGAGTTTGAGAGTACTCCTTCTTCTCCTCTTTGGAAAACTTTAAGGGGGATGGGTACTAGGTCTTCACTAAATGTTTGATAAAATTCAGCAGTGAAACCATCTGGTCCAGGAATTTTGTTCTTGGGTAGTTTTTGATTACCAATTCAATTTCTTTGCTGGTAATTGGTCTATTCAGATTTTCTGTTTCTTCCTGGGTCAGCCTTGGAAGGTTGTATTTTCTAGAAAGTTGTCCATATTTTCTAGGTTATCCAGTTTGTTAGCATATAATTTTTCATAGTATTCTCTCATAGTTCTTTGTATTTTTTGTGGTGTCCATAGTGATTTTTCCTTTCTCATTTCTGATTCTGTTTATGTGTGTCAACCCTCTTTTTTTTCTTGGTAAGTCTGGCTTGGTGTTTATCTATTTTGTTTATTTTCTCAAAGTACCAGCTCTTGCTTTCATTGATTCTTTCTATTGTTTTATTCTTCTCCATTTTATTTATTTATGGTCTAATCTTTATTATGTCCCTTGTTCTACTGACTTTGGGCCTCATTTGTTCTTCCTTTTCTAGTTTTGTTAATTATGAGTTTAGACTGTTCATTTGGGATTGTTCTTCTTTCCTGAGGTAGGCCTGTATTGCAATATACTTCCCTCTTAGCACGGCCTTGGCTGCATCCCACAGATTTTGTGGTGTTGAATTATTGTTGTTATTTGTCTCCATATATTGCTTGATCTCTGTTTTTATTTGGTCATTGATCCACTGGTTATTTAGGAGGATGTTATTAAGCCTCCATGTGTCTGTGGGCTTTTTCATTTTCTTTGTGTAATTTATTTCTAGTTTCATACCTTTGTGATCTGAGAAGTTGGTTGGTACAATTTCAATCTTTTTGAATTTACTGAGGTTCTTTTTGTGGCCTAGTATATGATCTATTCTTGAAAATGTTCCATGTGCACTTGAGAAGAATGTGTGCCCTGTTGCTTTTGGATGGAGTGTTCTATAGATGTCTGTTAGGTCCATCTGTTCTAATATGTTGTTCAGTGCCTCTGTGTCCTTATTTTCTGTCTGGTTGATCTGTCCTTTGGAGTGAATGGTGTGTTGAAAGCTCCTAAAATGAATGCATTGCATTCTATTTCCTCCTTTAATTCTGTTAGTATTTGTTTCACGTATGTAGGTGCTCCTGTGTTGGGTGCATAGATATATATAATGGTTATATTCTCTTGTTGTAATGACTCCTTTATCATTATGTAATGTCCTTCTTTGTCTCTTGTGACTTTCTTTGTTTTGAAGTCTATTTTGTCTGATACAAGTACTGCAACTCCTGCTTTTTTCTCACTATTAGTTGCATGCAATATCTTTTTCCACCCCTTTACTTTCAGTCTGCTTTGAGTTTCAAGTGAGTCTGTTGTTGGCATCATATAGACAGGTCTTGTTTTTTTATCCATTCAGTGACTCTATGTCTTTTGATTGGTGCATTCAGACCATTTATATTTAGGGTGATTATTGATAGGTATGTACTTATTGCCATTGCAGGCTTTAGATTCATGGTTACCAAAGGTTCAAGGGTAATTCCCTTACTATCTAACAGTCTAATTTAACTCACTTAGTACAGTGTTACAAACAACCTAAAAGTTTTTTTTTTTTCCTTTTTCTTCCTCCTCCATTCTTTATACAGTAGGTGTCATATTCTGTACTCTTTGTCTATCCTTTGATTGACTTTGGGGACAGTTGATTTGATTTT